CTCGTCAGATGGCCTAGATTCCAAATTTTCTTTTAATTAAAAGTAAGTCTAGCCCTAGCAAAACTGGAAATGTAAGGCAAAACATGGAGTCACAGGTTTTGCCAATTGTTTTTCTGAGAAAGGAGCCTTTAAAATGATTAGTTAATGAGTCAAGCTATCCACAGTTCAACAGGAGCCCATAAATACGTGGATTAAAGAATCAATTGATCTGAATTTGTGGTTCAGTTTTGGAATTCAGGGGAAACCTGATTCTTTCTGTTGTAGAAGAGCTAGCTGTATTAGTTTGTACAAACAATGTAGGTGAAAGCAAAAGAAAAATAAAGCATTATGCAGTGGTGCCTCGACTTACAAACGCCCCAACTTATGACCATTTCGAGTTACGACCAGCTCTGGATGCACAATTTTGCTTTCACTTGCGGCCAGAGCTTCCAGTTATGAACAGAAAAAAGGCAGGGGAAAAAGGCGGGGAATTCAAAATGCTAACCATTGGTAGGTGAAGAGGCTGCTTCTTTGTATCTCTTTCACCCCAACGGTTAGAGAGTGTGCGTTCAGAGGAGGCTTCGGACTGCCTGGTAAGGTGCTGCTTTCTGCTTTCATAAAACTGTTCTGGGTGGATTTTGCAGCGTGGTTTTGGGCTGGGTGATAGGATTATGGTTCTATGCTGTGATGGGTCTTGCAGGGTTTGTTTTTTTTGGGTTCCCTCCCCATTTCCGATGGGTGTTGGGGGGTTTGCTTGCTTTTTGGTTTTTTCTTTTCCCATGTCTGATGGGTCTTGCAGGGTTTGTTTGCTTTTTGGATGTTTTTCCCCAATTTCCAATGGGTCTTGACGGTTTGTTTGCTTTCTGCTTTCCCCTTTTTTTGCATTTCCGAAGGGTCTTGCACAGTTTGTTTGCTTTTCTCCCCCCCCCCTTTGGCCAGAAATGGACTAATCACGTGTCTAATCATGTGTCCAATGGGTCTTGCAGTGTTTTGTTTTGTGTGTGTGTGTGTGTGTGGTTTTTTTTGGTGATTTTTTCCTTCAGCCGGAACAGATTAATTGCATTTCAGTGCATTTCAATGGGAAATGGTGTTTCAACTTATGACCATTTTGAGTTACAACCAGAGTTCCGGAACCAATTAAGTTCATAAGTCGAGGCACCACTGTACTTGTTCTTTCTATTTTACATAGAGCTGAAATCTATTGGCAGAGCTGCCTTCAACCTGTGTATGTGAAAAATGAAGACAATGCCCGTGGTAGGTGTTTTTCCAAGCCCTGATAGTGTGGATCATCTTGCATGACCTACTTTAGCCCTATGAGTCTCTGATTCAATTGGACTTCCAAAAACATTGGCCAGAATCCCATAGGTTTTCACATAAAGTCTGTGTAACTTTCCACAGCTAGGTACTTCCCAGTTGTGCAGTGATGCATGCTATCAGCCATGCTCTCAGTACACATCGTGGCACCTTATCAAGCGGTTACAATTAGCTGCAGCAACTTAGGCATAGCTTACATAAACACCAGAAAGATCCTGGCCATTAAGTGGCATTTTATCTCACACAGGCTTCTGGGAACTCAGCTGAGGGTTGAAGTCATGATTCGCCTTGAGACAAGGAAGAGCTGGGCAAAACATGGGGGCGGGGCAGGAGCAAGACAAAGGGGAGTCTAAACAACTAGTAGAAGCTTCTGCTTATTTGTTACTGCTAAACTTGCTGGATTTATGGTATTGTTTCCTTACCAAAAAAAACTACTCTCTTCCTCCCTACTCTCAGGGCACTTTTGATTTTCTTACTTTTTTGGTGGTGTGTTTGAGCTTTCCTTATTGCTGTAATATGATTGAGCATATTTGTGTTTGTGTGTTTGTATTATACATTAATCACTCTCCAGTCTTTCTGACTGCCAATACTTCTGAATCTGAAAACACCCCATGGCAATGCTATCTCATGAGCTTTAATTGAAACATAAGGAGACAAGGGAGCCTGCAGATGGCTGGAAAGATTATCATACAGTGGGAGACAGGTCACCCGCATGGACACCTCAGACATCTAGTAACTAATATACGTATGAAGTTAACACCCTACAATAATTTTGTTAACCTTTTCTCCTCCTTTTGAATTTTTAAACATACTTCAGCACTGCATAAACCAGAACAGAATTCTATTGAATTGCCACTTAGAGATGGATATTGGCATGGTGTAGTATAGGGAAGGTATTCCTAACAGCCCAAACACGTCTGCTTCCAAGGATTATCCCCATATTAGTTAGACTAGAGGCCACTATAGGGTGAGAAAGACAAAGGTCATATATGGGCAAGAGGTTTCTTAATGTGCTCATGCAACCTATATAACAATCTGGAATGGAAGTGACATTGCCTCGAAGTCCCCATAGATCTGTGGATACCGAAAGGCATTAATCTATGTGAACATGTGCTTCTGTGTGAATCTACACAAAGATAGCATTTGCTTTAACACTTATTTATTTATTTATTGAATTTGTACCCCATCCATTTAGTCAACTGACTACTCTGGACTTGCTCTATAGTACTCATTTCAAGAATGTGTGAGGTGGTCTGGAGAAAGAATGTTGTGGCAGATCCTGTAAATGCATAAGGTGGTATTGTGGCTTGCACTGATTCAGCTCCATTGATATTATAAGAGACAGAAGTTGGTGGGAATGAGGGAATTTGTCTTTTCAGGTTGTCTGCTAATTAAGATCCCAATACACATGAGATGTATCACTATCAAATGAGATGTGCAGCATGATTATAGGGTTGTATCAGTCATGAGTGTTCATGCATCATTTTAGGATCTGGAAAGGCTGTGCACAATTAGCATGTTATGTCTGGCAATGCAAAACGCTGTTGGCATAATAGCATTGACCTTATAACTAACTGGCCAGAATATTGGGCTATAGATTTCATATCCCATGGGATCAGCAGTACCGTGGCCTCATTTGCTGTTAGTGAAGTTTCAGGAGGTCTTGATGGGTGAACTAAAATGGTTTACAATATGTAGCTGTTCATGCTCCTGAAACACAGCAAAAGTTTTAGATGCTATCCAACTACATATTCTATCGTTTTACCATAAATTGGCCTTATTGTGATATGAAATATTTTATGACTGTATATGGCTTAGATCACTGGTTCTTAACCTTGGGTTACTCAGGAGTTTTGGACTGCAACTCCCAGAAGCCTTCACCACCAGCTGTGCTGGCTGGGGTTTCTGGGAGCTGCAGTTTAAAAGCATCTGAGTAACAAAGGTTAAGAACCACTGACTTAGATGAAGTTGTCATCAGTGGTCTTCAAGGAAAATATATTTTTAAACAAATCTCCATTTTGACATAAAATGCTAGTCGACTATGCATTCCCCCCCCCCCCGAATTGATTCAGAAGAAGATAGTTACCTTAGGTTATTAGCCTTCTGAAAACTAATTTGCTAAGTGAAAATGTATCCCAAATCCATATTCGTGAAAGCGATATTCCATTGTAACAGGCACTTGTTGCAGTTTCCAAGCACAGCTTCTTCTAGTAGCTTTGATATAACATAATTGGCTTGATTGAAAAACATGGGGCAAAGACATGACTTTGTTGGAGAGTTAGTTTAACCTCTCTCTCCTTCAGGATGTGTGAGGGATTAGGATAGGCTTGACGAAGAAGAGAGAGGGCTAATGATGTCCTAAAATATTTCCTAAATATTTCCTAAATATGTTTAGTACTTTTGATGTCCTAAAATATTTCAGGGTGACTTTTGCCTTAGTAGTGGGTGTGGAGTACACACCCACTCCTAAGAGCCTCCAGATCTGGAAGATGAGCCAACTAGTTAACCAGGTGCCCTTGGTACAGTTCATAAATAACATGCTTATTTACATGGCATATGATGTTTTGCTGGATGAGGCTCCTCAGTTTGTCCACCTGGATGGTCAGGGAAAGAAAGGAGCAGTACTGAGGAAAGATGAGGAATGCATGGCCTTCTAGACATTGTCAAATGGCAGATCCCATCATCCTTGTTTTTAGATTATGTTGCCAACAGCTGAAGTCCAATAACACTGGGAGTGCTGTTATATTCCCTCATTGTAATGTACAGGATTGCTGGGAGAAGCACAAGAATGCTAGCTTTTTCAAAATGTTAAAGAGGTGAATAGTTCAGGAGGCACGTACATTGACAATCATGGGCATGGGTGGGCACCTGTACTCTTCCAGATCTTTGCTCACATAATCCTTCACTAGGCTAGTTTAGGGTGATGGGACATGAGGTCTAATAATATCTAGAGTGCCATATTTGTCTGCTCCTGTTTAAGGGGACCATAAGCGATAATGGGAAAGGAGTTAATATGATAAGTTTCAATGTATAGTAAGAGCCCTTTCTTTTCAGAAAATATTTGCATAGTTGATGTTCTTTGTATAAATTCCTTTGGTACTTAGCAACAGTGAAAGACGTGCTTTTTTCTTTTTTAAAAAAGTGCAAGTAAGAAAGCAGAATTTATTTTTTATTAAAAAAAACCCTACTGTTGACTTATCTTTATAAGCCCATACCTCATACCATTTCTGAAAACGGTCAAAAGATTGTCCCTTTTTGTCGGGGAAATGAGTGGCCCAATGAAAATGAGGGAAAGAATTTATCCTGGACTTGCTTAATGGCCACAGTAATTAATCTCCCAAATTTTAATGCTAGACATTGTTGCTTTTCAAATACATAACTACCGATATAAAATCTGAATAAATAAACAAATAGGTGAGAAAATATATGGGATCCCTACAGGCCCTCATCAAATATTTAAGAACTCTGTGTAGATTACTTAAATTCTAAAATGCTATCACTCATTCCTTAGCAGCCCACCAGTCAGGCATGGAGATATTTCTATTTAGACTTGTTAAAATGTGATTTAGTACATTACAATTTGATTTTGGGCATGCAGGTTACAGCAGTTGTGCTGTAAATCATCCAACCCTAATTTTATATGATAAAATAGTATCCCTATTTTGATCCATTCAGTGAATAGATTTTTTTTTCTTTTTCTCTTACAGAAAGCGGGATATAAAACCGAATGGGTGGACTTGCGTGGAGCTCACCTTGAATGGGCTAAAGAAAAGTCGAGCAAAAAGAATGTCTTCCAGGTAGGAGATGATTTATTGTTCTCCCTTTATTCTTTGGTTATTACATCATTTTAAAAAGCAGCAATTAAACAAACCACTATTTCTTTCCGTGCATAACTATTTAATAATTGCAGAATGCACCAAGGCAATGTTTGTGCTTTCTTTGTTAAAGCAAATGGAAAACATAACATTTTATTCACTCTTTCCTGCTTTTTTTTTTAAATTCTGGGCCAAAGTGTCTTGATGATTGAATCTACTAAAAACATTTGAGAACCTGTTGATTTGCTGATTAATGTGCCACGTTCAATTTGTTTTTAAAAGTTTGTAGGTAATTTGTTTTGGGTTTAAGACTAGAATCCTTGACCTCATGAACTTCTGTAAAGAAAGCTTTCACACGCTGCTTACATAAGCTGTACTCCTAACTGGGTGGAATTTGCCTGTTTGTTTTTATTATTTCTTAGGAGTTTAATGACAGGTTCATTCCAGAGGGAAGGAGCTATAGGAATGTTGAAGGAAGAAAAAGCCACAAATCTGCACCTCTTAGAGGCAGTTCAAAAAGCTATACTGTACTTTTTTTACTGATTTTAATTAATGGCAATAGTTTAACAATGTTGCTGATGGGCTGATACTAAACAGGTTGATTATTACCTGGTTAGGGTGTTCCGTAATGGTGGTATGGACTTGCATCCCAACAATGAAGAAGTCCAACAGAGTGTGACAGGACTTACTCCTGTATAGGACTGCATAGCAGTGGACAAGACAGATCTCAGGATAGGGTCAACTTTTCAAAATGCCATCTCATAGGCCTCACACTAAAATTTGTGGGAGCCCTGAGGAATTTATAGCAGAGAAGCAGCCCACAGTCACCTCCTCCCCCCATTATCCTGAAAACTAAATTATTCTGAGCCAAAATGTGGAGAACATACCATTGTCACACAAACAGTTGTTACATACAGCACTGATGTTACCTGTCTGTCATGGGTTTGGAGGGAAAGTTCCATCCTATGGGAAGTGTAAGGCGGGACATCAGGAGGAGGGGCTGTACTGTATATATATGTGAAGCGTGTGTGGAGAGTTTATGAGATGCTGAGAGACACTGTGAGACACTGGGATGTGACGAAGCAGCAGCTGGGAAGAAGAAGCTGTTGTGGGAGTCTGTGTGTCAGACAGGGTACTACTGTGTGTCAGAGTACCAACCTGATAGGTTCAGGTGTCTGTTGGTTAGCCAGAACTGATAGGTTCAGGGTCTGTGCTTTAAGTTAAGGGTTCTGTGTGAACCAAACTGTGTGTATGTATGAGTGAAACTAAGCCACGTTACTTTATCTTATTCACCTGATTGTTTATTTTTCCCTGTGTGTATTTAAAATAAACTTTATTCTTTTTATTGTTTAAAAATCCATCCCTGGTCTGTGTGACTTCTTAAAGGGAATGGTTGGTGGCAGCTTAGTTAACGTGTGGCAGATCCCAGTAGGTCTGGGTTTGTCACAACAGTATCTATAGGAGGTGTACATTTTTGTGTCATTACTAGCAATTTCAGTGCTGTCAGTGCCCTAGAGCAATTTAACTTCTGGGATATAATCTTTTTTTTTTAAATGATGGCTGTTTGCTGCCAACTGCTGGTAGGACTAGTTTTGTTTATTTTAATTAGAAGTGAAATTGTTGATGGGTCCTGCCAGACTACAGGGTAAAATGGATCAAACATGGTTATTTTGTTTTGTGAAATTGAGCTCCAGAAATATGTCACAGAGGATGAAAGGTTGACCAGGTTGATTTAAGAAGATGCTTGACTTCTTTTTAGGTTTAAAACAGAGTAGACCTGAGGGAAAATTTAAAGTGGAATCATGAGGAAGGCAAGGAGTACTTTTCTAAATTGTAGCTCAAATCCATCCCCTGATATGAGGCCTTCATGGACACTTCCATCATTATTGGGCCATTTTTTAGCTGTAGGTATTAGTTAAGAAATTACAACTATCTGTGATTATCCCCAGGGACAGTGATGCAGTCCCATAGTCTAGGTGTAGATTGGTATCCCTACTCACAAAGAAAACTAGAAGAGGAAGCAATGTCGGCTACATGCCTAGTTTTGAGACAGATGTTGAAATTTCTATGAAAAGAAAATATCGTGCAACTGCTGAGGCTGGCAATGTAGGTCACATTTATTAAGCTGTCTCTACAGCAGTGTAAAAGTTCTCAAGAACAGCTATAAACATAATATGAAAGAAACATAGGCTGAATCAGGATTGTATAAGTTGCATAATGAATCTTATAAGGTGGTGTGTGAAGAATTGTTTCCAGTTTGTGGCCGGGGCCCCCAGGGAACATATACCCCTCCTGTTGAGAATGGCTCCTCAAGGAGAAGGAGAAGGAGAAATTGCTTTCATTCTGCATAGTATAAAGCGGCAGTAATATTGTCCCTAGATCAGAAAGTTAGAGAGTGAATGTTTAGGCATGTATGTTACAGTAGCTATGATACACACATCCCTAGAGGATATTCAGGCTGAAGAGAGTAATGAATGTATTAACACAGATGTTTCCCAGCAGCAGAAGAAAATGGGGTGTACCTGTTTGCAGGATCACAGACTGTTTCTGTGCTGTTTTAGCACATCCTGTTGTTGTGGCCCTCAACCACAACTCAAAGTGTTTGCAACCTTTTGTGAATGGCTCTTTTCTTAACAAAAGAAAACTTGAAAGCACAGAGTGGGTTTGAAGCAGCTTCACGGGGCCCCGTGAACGCATGGAGCCATTTGCAGCCAGATATCATTTTTGTCTCCCTAGCAAACTGACACGTTACGCTAGGTCTTCATCAGAAGAGTAGTGAATAAAAGAAGATTTATGTTCAAATCACATGCTTTAAACATTCCTGCTAAGTGCTAGTTTGCTCTTTGGTGTTGAGCCTGAAATTTAAAGCACTGGGGATTAAAAGGATTACAACATAATCTTAAATAATCCTAAGTGTCATTTACAGAGAGATGGTTGTAATAACTAAATAAAACCATGTTAAGGGATGGCAGTGTTGTCAGTCAGCAACTGAAACCATGTCTCTCGCTTGCCCTTGTATTCTGTCTCCTCTCCCCTTTGTCGACTCCAGTTTTTATGTTGGATAGGTACATCTTGATGGGAGCTGCTGCTGAGGGAAGTAGTTCTTGGGTATAGGTTATAATAATCGTAACCTATAAAGTAGCAGAATTAGCATATTTCAGTTTAGATTTAAAAAGCCACTATTTAAATTAGTATAGAGTAAAATGTTGCTCTCCCGTATTGTGTGTCTTTGTGCCAGCAATAGTAATTCAAATAAACATGAGTGATTTGGTTGATAAATAATAAATAACTTTTATTGATCCAAAAACATATATGTATCAACTATATTACATAAGTACAGTGTTTACTTATTTGGTATGATTGGTACGACAGCCATTCACTGGTCTTGTTATATTTGTAATACTTATTTAGCCCTATTATATATTATATTTTCATCTGAGTGTAAGAGATACTTATCATAAAAGACCCTGTTAGTCCTATCAGTATCAGTCTACATATTGTATGGGTCCCCTTCCTTGCTCTCGTCTACATCGTTTAGTCCCGTCCGAACAGACTCCTGTCTGGCACTGCCTTTTATAGCAGCCTCTCTGCCCATAGAAACCATTTGATTGGTTAAACACATTATATGCAAATATCACATTCTGCTCTTAGCTAGCACATCATAAATATTCATATGAATATACATTCTGTATTGCAGACATATAAACATTAGTGACACAATGGAAGGATTTTTTTTAAAAAAATTAAACTAACAAAGAAATAAACAAAGCATTGGACCATTGTGTTTCTCAGTTTATGCCAGTTTGTGTGAGTAAGGAGTAAGGTGTGTTAGCAGCCACAAGGGGTGTCAGTGGCGACTGCTCCACCTGTACATATCTGTCTGCAATGATTGCTGCTCTGGAAACAAAGACCTGGGGCATGTTTGTTTCCAGAGGCTGACTCTCAGGCTCTTCCTGCAGGCGCTGACACCTCCTTTCAGCCAGAGGTGCTGGTACTGCTCCTAGGAGACCCCGGCACAGCCTTGCTGCTGGAGATCATGAGGATAGTGTGGCGGCAGACTAAGCATCATGTTGGAGCTTGAGGGAAACATCTCCATTGTCCAATTTGACCTGCTTTTGCCTTAGGCCTTCCTTTTCCAAATTGATGGTCTCCAGGCCTGTGGCGGCAGACTAAGCATCATGCTGGAGCTCGAGAGAAACATCTCCATTGTCCAATTTGACTTGGCTTAGGTCTTCCTTTTCCAAATTGATGGTCTCCAGGCCATACTCAAAAGAATTCATCTGGCTGATCTTCCTGCTGGCTGAAGTTAACTTCTTCTGCAGCCACTCACACTCTTGTTCCAGAGTCTCCTGCTTGAGAGCTCTCACAATCCCTGACTGACCTTGATCTTTTTCGTTCTTCTTCAGGGCCAGGGCGGAATGTTTTTGGTGCTTCACGGCCCCAGGTTTTGCACTCAGTGCTAATATAGTTGCTGAAGCATTAGTGACTACATTAGGGTGTTTTTTTTTAAATCATCTTAAGGTTTAGCACAACTTGCTCAAGAAAGGGCTTCTCTGTTTCTCCTGTTTCACTCTTGTAGATTGTTTCTCCTTACATGAAAGTCAGCCAGCCTCTTTTGAATTGAAGCATTCCAAGAAGACACCAGGGCGGGGGGAGTGCTGAATGTATTTTACCTGAGCATCAGTTCGCATGAAGATTATCCAGGAGTGCCAGGGATATTATTACAAATGCAAGCACTGCTGCATGAAGCATTAATTTATGCCATTCACATGCTTGCATTTTACAAAACAGGGAGATAACATGTATCCTACTTAGTATATATCTATATTTTTGTCTTAGGATCACAAAACAGCAAAACGGCAAAATATATGCCCATTAAGTGAGATTCAGAAGAATTCTTCAGCCCAAAGGAGGTGCCCTTCTCCTCATGAGTCTAAGCCTCTATGTATTCACAAATACCATATTTTTCATGTATATGACTC